CCCATTAACTGTATATGAATGTTCCTTTTTTCCTCCACAGCTTCACAAATACTTGTTTCTGGACTTTTAGATATAAGCCCTTCTCATAGGTGTAATTCTCATTTTATTTTCAATTCGCATTTCTTTGACAATAAGCAATGATGAGCTTCTGTATGTTTTCTTTGGAGAAATGTCTATTTAGGTTTCCTGTTGTGTTTTAAGCGTTCTTTGTAGATCTCAGGTAATAGCCCCTTTTCGATGTATGATGAACAAATATTTTCCCCCATTCAGTAAGATTTAATTTTTGTTTCAATGGTGGTTTCTTTTCTTGTTCAGAAGATTTTTAGTTTGATGTGATCCCATTTATTTGCTTTTGTTATTTTTTGCTGTTGCCATAAGAGTTTAATTTCCAAATATATATCTTAGGCCAATATTATGGATTTCTTTTGCTTAATTTTTTTCCTATGTATCTCATGATTAACATTCTTATATAAAGTATTTAATGAATTTTGAGTTTATTTTTGTAGCTGGTGTGAGAAATTGCCTAGTTTCATTCTTTTGCATGTGGCTGTCAAATTTTCCCAGCATTTGTTGAAAAGACTTTCCTTTCTCCAATGTGTATCCTCAATTCCTTATCATAGATTCATTGTCCATATAATTCTGGGTTAATTTCTGGGCTTCCAATTTTATTCCACTGCTATGTGTGTTCAATTTTTATAAAATGCCTTACTGTTTTGATAACTATAATTTTTCCCCATAGTCCTACTAAATACTTATCTTCAAAATTTTAATGTATCAGACATATTGTTTTAAATGAATGAAAGTATTTGTAGAATTTACACAAGGAGTCAGGCACTATGATAAGTATCTTTTGTATTAAATCATGAAAGCCCCAAAAGATTCCTACATTCTTTATCACCCTTATCAATAGGGGAACTGAGTCTAAATAGAATTTAAATAAGTGGCTCTGACTGATGTGCTATCATAGAGTTGAGGCAAAACCTCTGACATTCCACTGTCATACACTCTCCAAAATGAAGTATAAAAAAAATTAACTTCTATTGAGGAATTTTTGTGCTTGAAAATATATTCATTCTTTTATGTTTAATCTTTATAATACCTTGTAAAATGAAGTGCAATTGTTACTTAATTTTAGGAAAAGTAAGCGTGTTCAGAATTGTTATTTGGCACAAGATCACACAACTAGTTAGTGGGAAAATGATATTCTTATCTATTCCTTTATATAGCCTACTAAAATCTTTTCCTCTTAAATTTTTATGTGCATTTAGGAGTAAAGTCTACAATTCTGTATTTTTGCATGCTCCCAGATAAGGAAAATGATTTTGATCTAAGAACCATAGTTTTAGAACCAATGAGTTGCTTGTGCTGTGCAGTGAGATTTTACAATTCTTGAAGGAAATAATCTTTTGAGATTACCACTGAAGCACTTATACTCAATATTGAAGTTATAACAAAAATATTATGTTTTCTAAAGCAGTTCAGTAGAACTAGTTTTAAGATTCTTAAGGCCACATAAAAGCCAGAAAGCAAGAGAACAAGAAAAGAAAGAGAATATGCTGCAAACTGCTTCAGTAGCTTAACAGCTTATTATATATACATTTTTTTTATATTTGCTCATGTTGAAGGAAGGAAGTGTGAGTTATCTTACATACTTCTTATATACTTGTGTCTTTGCTATACTTCTCTAATTATTGATGGAAAATTCAAAACTCTGGAGATTTTTAAAAAATTTTCTTTTGTAGTAACTACATCATAATATCATGGGGAACTACTTACTTACCTGTCAACATATTTAATGCTGATTTTTACCATCTTTGTCCTTTTACATAAACAAAGGGTGAGCATAGGCCCCCTGAATGAGTGAGAGAAATATTCTTTAAGAGTTCCATTTATTCTAATACTAATTTAATGAAATCAACATATTATATATGACTAAATTGTAAGAGTACAGTAATAAAAATTCCTGAATTTTAAAGCTTACATGGATATGCTAAAAATAGGGACACCTGATGGAAATAGAAATGTTTAAAGATGGAGTTTGAGGTAATGTTCATTGGTAAGCTAAATAGTAGTAAGTTGACAAAATTGGCATCTGTTGTAAGAATAGTGATTATTTTTTAACTACTTTTAAGAATTATAGGTTTATATTATGTATGGTGTGCATTTGATAATTTAAATTTTAATATTACAATTGTTGACTGTAGACTGCAAAAGAAGAAAGAAGAGTCTTTTATAAAGGAGATGACTATAGCCATATAATCCTGATTCTGCTGGATAAATTTTGTTAACATAAAAGTGAAATATAACAAAATTATTTTCTGTACAACAGAGGTTAGATTGTCTTGCCTGGGTGAAAGGAGGAACTGGTAAATATAGAAGAGTCTGATACAATTAACCTCCTTAATGTCTGTTAGACAAAACATTCTTTGTTGCCTAAATTAACACTTAAAAAATAAATCTGGGGCCCTCCCTGGTGGCGCAGCAGCTTAGCAGGTTAAAGCACAGCACTGAGAAACTAAAGCCACTTCCACATGAGTTTGATTCCAGCCTGCCCCAGAGGTGACCACATGGCGTGGCAGACCTCTCATGACCCGCCGCTGCTCCCCTCAGCAGTGTACTTAGTCGATCTGTCTGTTCTGTTCCCCACTCTGTCTCTGGTGAAGCCTCTCGCGGCCCCTGAGCCTCTGGCCTGTACCCCAGTTCTGTATGAACAAATAAATAAATCTTAAATATAAATAAATAAAGCTGAGATTTAGTTGCTAACTCTATATCACAAACAAAAAATAATAGGTACTTAAATTAACATAGGAACATACAGGAAAAATTAGCTACATTTCTCAAGTTTTCACTCTTAACTGGAAAAAATGGAGAATTAAAATTTTATTTTAGTTCATTCTAACAACACAGTTCATCTTTCCTGGTTATTTCTTACAAGAAAATTAATTTAAAAACTTATATAAGTATGGTAAACATGACTTGTGTTTAAGCTATAAAAGTTTAATGCCTCAGACATGAGTAAAAGAATATTTATGAGTGTTTTCAAACAGAGAAACTTTGTTAAAGATACAGGAATGCCATCATTTGCTTATTGATTAAACTGGCATCTGGATCTACAACATATCCAAGCTGGGAGAGAAGAAAACAAGGAGTAGCCACGAAACATGATGGAAATGGCATCAAACTTCTACAATTTTACTACCTCTGAAAATAATGTATTTGGCCAGAAATTATGCTATAGAAAACATTATTTTTGTTTATCCATTTACTCATATATTTACTCATTCTTCATTCTCACAGTATAGTAATACATATATATACAATTCTTTATACAGGTTTCTCCCATTTTCCTGAATTAAAGCATTCTCATAAAATCTTTTAAGCTCAAATGACATAAATCAAAAAAGCAGTTACCTCTACTTACTATGAAACATCAAAACATTTTTAAGCATTTCCAGCCCCCCCCAAAAAAAACTACCATAAAATCATCCAAATGACATCTAAAAGTTAAACATACACAAAATGCTTGAATGTTATGATATATACCAATATCTATGTATATACATGTACACAGCATAAATGAAGTAGTGCATGGGGAAGAGCTGGGTGTTACCATTCTCACTTCTTGAGTTGTGAGCTTCCTGTAGGGTGAATGCTGCAGCATAAATATACAGAGTTTACTTTCACTTTTTGTCCTTAAATGGAAATCCTATTCCGATTTATTTTCTTTATAGTAGTTCTAGATGAAGTACACAGTTGATGCATTACACTGGGAGGAAGTAAATGTTAAATGGTTTGATTTTTGTGTAATTAACAGGCAGCCTGAATGCAGAATGCAGAAGTGGACACATGGGCCTCTTCATTGTTCTTTTATTTGATTAAAATCTAGCTGGTCATAGTTGGAAGTAGGTCCCCAACTTGCACTCCCATTAAAATTCATTTACAGTTCCCTTTGCTTTGGAATTGTCTGCTATTGGTGGCAGGCAACTCTGTTTATATTTCTTGGCAGTTTCTTGTTTATATTTCTTGGGAGTAAAGTTTGTTTCTTCATTTTTTGATAACCAATGTAAATCTTTCATAAAAGCAAATTGGTGTAAAACACTAAAAAAAAAACATAGGATATATACATTATTAATGATTTTAAAACTATCATATGAATGTGATTTTTTTCATAATTATTTTGTCTAGGTAATGCAATAGTCAGTTTTTAAACAGTAATTTCATTGAGACAGCTTGATCTTGGAATCCTAAACAGTCTAAGTTCATATGCAGAAAACATCTTCAGTTTCTCCATTTTCCAGCATAGGATTAATAGGTACATAAAATGAGTACCAAGTGATGAATTGCATAAAGTTGGAGAATATGGAATAAAAATGTAAAAATTTAAACAAAATTAAGCAATATATCATTTTTTATGAGAAAGTGAACTCCTAATCTGAATATATTGTGAGCATCATAAAAAGTTAAACAATTATATTTTGAAGCTTATGTTTTCATTTACTACTAACAATTCCAACCAAAGACATATCTAACTAAAATATATATCATGGGACAACTTTAATGTAAACTAAATACACAACACTTAGTTTTCTTTAGCACAAAGTCTGAAGGAATGTACTGATGATTTTAAGGAATGTATACAGAGAAGTAAAATCCTGATATAAATATGGACTTCTTACTTAAACTAACTGCTTATATTTCTACTAAACAAATACATTTTAATGAGGTTCTCATGTGGGAAGTATACCATATTTAAATTATATCATTAACTTTGAAATGTCAAGACTGGTCTCATTCCTTCTTAGTTTATTTCATTGAAAATTGTTATGAGTTTAAAAATCTTCTGTGATTTACATTTTTTTATTATAAAGATGGGTTTGGATTTAACAGAAAGATTATAACACTAGTCAAGTAAAACAAATACTTAAACTTTTATTTAATGATCTATTATTTTCACTCACTTAATTATGTTTTGACTTTTTGTTTTTCGTTTCTTTGAACAGGCTGAGATAAATGACCCAATTGATCCTTTTGCTAACTGTAATACAAAAGTCTCATCAAATGCAGGAGATGAAGTTTTCTCCAAATACATAGGCTGGAGAGTTGCCAATGCACTTTCCAAACTCTTCTTCCCCTTCACTGATGCTCATGTTCTTCCTGTGAAAAAAACTTTGATAAAACCAGACCAAATTAGACATCGAAGTAAAAAGCTGAACCTCACAAAGAAGAGAGCTCTACATTTCACTGTAAGGTAAAGTAAAACTAATTTTTCAAATTGTCCTATTAACACTTATAATTCAAAATCACATAATTTAGCTCAGTTTATCCTTTTCAATTAAAATCACAGCTCCATTACTTTCTAGGTGTTTTATCATGAGCAAATAGTCCCTTCTTAAAAGCTGTTAATATTTCCTGTGTCTGAAATGTTATTATATAATATAGATTAATGTTTCAATGAAGTGAAAGCCTGACTCCAACTGATGACTTTATTTACCGTGTTATATCCATCAATCCATATACTTATTTGTTTCCTGTTTATAAATTATAAATATATAAATTGTATTTTTAATTTTCTTGCCATATTTTCATGAAACTCAAATGTTTAGCATACTAAATATAATATATAGCATCTTCAATTTTTTTCTTTTGTCTTAGTTAAGGTAGCATTTGTTTATGACTCTGCATAAGCTTCAATAGTACAACTTCATACTTCAACAAAGTACATACCCACCACATTACCACAAGTTATTCAGAAAATACAGTTCTTATGTTTGAGACCCTTGGTATTTTTAAATCTCAAACCTAAATATCATTGTCTTAATTTTTTCATCTTAAAATTTTAGCAAGTCACATTTTATTTTTAATCTTATTTTTCTGTGCTTGATCCCACTTTAACAAATTCTTATCTAACATGTTTGTTTGCATTTTGTCCTTTTTCAGTCTTAATTTTGTGTTGTATCTTTTTTATGTCTTTTTTTTTAAATGAACCAGTTTTTTGTTTTCTAATGTGTATATTTTTGTTCTTATCTTTAGGATATATTTTTCTTTTCTTTGATTTACTTTGTGGTTTATTTTTCAGTTTCTTGAAGATGATGTTAAAATATTGGGAAAATTTCCTTACTGGTATTTGCCTTAATCACAATTTGAGTCCCAAATTTATGGAAGTATTCTATCCGAAGGCAGATTTTTTTCAAATGTAATAGTTGCATGGTCCCAGGAAAAAAACAGATTGTTCCTTTGTGTATATAAATGCAGAAGAATAGATGCATTCTTGAGTGGAATTTTGATGTAATCTTAGTCCTTTTCTTAATAATTATAAAATCAGTGAGTTAGATATATAGATTTTAAACTAAATTGTATCACACAGCTTGCTTTTTAGTACTCTCATGTATTGAGACATTTTAAAACTATATTTCAGCTTATACTATTAATATTTTAAAATTGCATTATGATCAATTTACAATGAAAATACAAGTTTTAAGTGTCATTGGCACTGAGATTTAAAATCACCAAATGTATTCTGTACATTCTGAAGAATCAGGGACATGTTGAAAAATCAATTCAGGACCATATGATGTTAATAAGTGTACTGTGATTTCTTCTATTCATTCAGTATATTTTATATTCACATCAGTATGAAGAAACTCATACTGAGGAGTATAAATGTTATTAGAAAACCAATAGGGGAAGCTACAAACAAATGTTAACAAAGCAGACAAAGGGACCTTTCCCAGCAGGGCAACTGGTTGAAGCCCAGAGCTATGAAGTTAGCTACAGTCGCTGCAGTGTGAGTTGGACCCCAGGCCAGGGAGGTGACCCACATGGTACAGCAGACCTCTCCTATCTCACCTGCTGCTCCCCTCAGCAGTGTATTTCAGTCTATCTACCTGTCCTGCTCCCCACTCTGTCTCTAGTGAGTCCTCTCACTTCCCCCCTGTACCTTTGGCCTATTCCCCAGCTCTGTATGCACAAATAAATACATCTCTCAAAAAATGCAGATGAAAATAAATGCTAGGACACAGAGAAGAAAGGCAGACAGTATAAAGGATACATAATGGGAGTCCTTAAGTTAGCAAAACCTAGAAGCATAAAGAAAGATGAAGGAGATGAAGAGAAAAAGATAAAAATAAAGGGAGAAACATTAAAATAAAAGTAAAAATGCAAGGATATGCACAAGGCTTGAGAGTAGGATAAGAGAATAAGTAAGTCAGTGAAGAATAAGACAGGAGGAGTGGGGTGGGGTGAAGACTCTGGGAATATTGTAGTTTTTAAAGGATTAGTGAAGTAAATATCGCATTTGAGTTTTAGTTCATTATGTAAATGACCATCATTTATCACAGCCCTTTGAAAAAATGTTATGTCCACATTAATTAAACTCTAGCAGTTAAACTCAAAGAGTCACTGGCCTAAAACTACAGTACAACTTCCTGAGCCTCTTCCTAGTGGGTGCCTCCTCTTGCATTGCACCCAGGGCAGCGGCAGTCTTCCCCTTGCTCCATTCATGGTCGAGTGCCTGGGAGCAGGCCCCTTGGCTGTGTATCTTGCCAGTTTGAATTACTGATAGTCTGTAGTGACAATTAGTGATAAGAGGTTTATTTACTTTTAAAAAAGTCATTGAAAAGTAAATTTAAATTTTAAGTATGCATTGAAAACATTTTCTCTGGCTCACTAACCATTTGACAGTAAGCGATTTTATTCCTTCCAATGATTTGATTCTCCATCTGGTCAAGAGTCCCTTAGATAACTCTGCCTCTGCCCACCGCCTGTTCCACAAACTGGAATGACTGGAATTAGTGAAGAGCTGAGCATGTTGAACTCTGATAGGTGAAGCACAAAGACATAATATAAAGCCTACTGTGTGTGCAGATCCTTTCTAGTTTTTAATGTTCTTCATATGTAAAATCATTCTATCAATTCTTCACGCAATTTTGGAAACCAGCATTTTGTATTTTCAACAAATACTAATGTGAAAGAGCACGAGAAGGCTAACATTTATGTAATCCTACACAAAGTGGGGCACATTTAAGAGCTAGGAGGACAATTAATTTAAGGCAATTTTTTTTTATTACTTGAATCACTAAAGCATACTGATTTTATTATGAAGTGTAAAAAACTTGCTAAAAAGAGAAAATGAAATATTATTGAAGCATCTGCTATGTCTTATGATGTAGATTTTTTTCCAAAAATATTTTCCTCATTTTTTTCCCCAAAAATATTTCCTGTAGTTGATTTTAGCCTACAAAATTTTATGAAAACAGGAAGTATCTTTCAGATTTTTATACTCTTAAATTTTATTTTCAATGACATCTAGATTTGACATCATGCTTAATGACTTTTCACCGAAAATTATTATTCTGCTTCTGTATATTAATTTATTTTTGTTTTGCTTTAACTTAGTGTATGGTATTGAATGTATATCCTTTTTGCCTTTCAATATTTTTATGAAAAAATCATGGCTCTATTACAGAGTTGAAGCCACAAAGAGAGCATGTAGTAGTTCCACTTCAAAGTATAGCTTTTTCCATTTCTATTTTTGTCAGCAAAACTATCTTAAATTTACCTTAAGGCTGAGAATTCAGAACTCCGTAGACCAGATTTTCAAAAAATGAGCTTGCATATCTAAATTTTTTGCTTCTAAGGTTTGGTTTAAGTGTATTTCCTAGTTTATCTTGAAGCCTTAAAAACTCACAACTAATTTTTTATACATATTAAAGACTAGGGGAATATTAAACCAAAACTGTCTTTTTTGGTGCTTAATGTTCAAAATATTACGTTAGAAGACTTTATTCATAAGACCTGGAGGAGGGCTCAGATTAAATTAGCAAGCCTGTGGAGACTGCATGCTGTCATCTTGGCAAGCTATTTCATAAATATGGGGGTAGTACTGAAAGCTACTGTGTCTCCTATGTAGCTTTCTCTATAAAAGAGAACTAACACCAAAGTAGTAGTAGAAGTGGGAGTAGTTAACATTTATTTAATGGTAAGAAGGTTGAGAAAGGTAAACACCACAGTGTCCCTTGAGACAGTAAAGATCAGATTTTCCTGGAGAGATTAAAATCTGCTGCTCAGCAAAATGTGACACATTTCTTATTATCTCATTGAGAAGTAAGTGTGCTGGGAAACAATTGGACATTACTGAGTTTGCATTTTGAGTAAAGAACCTGTTTTCTTCCTATTCTACTTCTATAATGTAAGTGTGAAAATCACCTTCTCAAGGAAGAAATAAATGGTTTGGGGTCATTTACCAAGACATTTGAAGTTAAGCATAAACAGGGAAGGTGATACTAGAAATATCATCTTCTCAAACATTTGGAAAGTGTCTCTAATATTTGTAAAAGGAGGTCATTGGCCTCTGTAGGAAATTGATTTTAGGAGAAACTCCACCAAGTGGAACACTCGTAGGATCCCTAGTTTTAGTTAACATCCCTACTTCTATGGCAGGCGACTCAAAACTAGTCTCTGATGTCGTAGTCAAATATTGTGCCTTTTATAAAAAGGTACTATGCCAGGCACTAGTGGTAGGTGTATTTGATTCTTTCGTCATTTTATAGATTTTATATATCTTTAAAATTTCCATTTCATAGAACTGGTACCAAGAGCTTAACTGATTTGCCTGAAGATTCATAGCCATTACAATGAGACTGAACGTAAACAAATGCATCCTGACTCTTGATTCTTCCCCTGAAGGTTTCTTTCCTTATGTGGACTTTATCTGAGGGCAAACCTTGAGCAGTAGTTTAAGAAAATTATCATCACATTATGAGAAATAACTTTCTTATTTCCTTTTCTATTTCTGTTTCTTGATTTTCACAACTTGACTATAAAACAATTTTTCTGGGTCTTACACCTTTCTAGTTAACATTAAGTGGTCTATACCAAGTGAAATTCACTTTTGGTATGATTTTTAGCTAAAACCAATGGAGGAATATATATGTATACATACATACATACATATATATATATATACACATATATATTTATATACGTGTATGTGTGTATATATATGTGCGTGTGTATATATATATACATACTATATGTGTATGTGTGCAGATATATGTATATGCACACATATGACAGAGCAGATTTGAAAAAAATTAAATAAGACCTTCAAAAGGTCCCGAAATAAAAGGCCTTAAGCAAATCTTTCTAGTTCTGATTCATATCTGGAAACAAAGATTTGTTCATATATTCTCTTATATTTTGCTTTGATTAATTAACAGTAAGTTAAGTAACTTGTCTGAGACTTGTTTC